GCAAGTCAAATTTTGGGTTTGTTCGTCAGACATGTTGGTGCACATTATATCCGAGTTTCAAGAAAATCTGAGACGGTACCCAGCCATGATTTTCTGAAAATTTGTTGAGTTGGCACGGAATGACCCTGAAGAGATCACTAAGCTGTTTATAAACACCACATTTCACGTCCATAGTGGAAATGATCCTGGGCTTAAAGTAATGATGACGAGAACAACCAAACATTCAGTTTAATTTATTTATTCAGTTTTTGCTGATGTACAATTTATAGTACAGGTACTAAAATCCCAAAATTGTTACCAGCCATTTAGGTCTTAAACAATGAATAGTATTTATGCATCTCCTAATTGGCAAGGGAATTATTTTCTTGTTTGTTTACAGTAATGATGATATACTGTATATCCTGTACAACTTGAAAAATATAGATACCTTAACACAGATACTACATTTTAGTTAATACTTTATAGCTGATATTTTTCAATTTCCATATAGAATCCTAAATACAGTACAGTATTAAATACAGTACATATAAAATAAAAGATCTGACATATTCTATTTATATAAATATTTGTTGTAATATCATAATATTGTCTCAAATCTTTGAACCTGAAAGGCAGAAACCGGCCACAAGCGTAAACTGAAATAACACACAAATATCTGCTTATTCCACCTGCAGTACATGTGACTTACCACAAGAGGCATCATTTTCAGTAGTTGTATTGTTTACGAAGGATTTAACTCTTCAAAATAGAAAGACTGCAGGCATTACAATTAATGCTGATAAAACATTAGTAAACATGATATACAGTACTTAATAATTCTCAAAAGGATATACAGTACTATAAAGGAAGCCCCCAGCTTCTTGATAGTCTAACTATAGGTGGCGTGTTCTTGTTTATGAAGACGCGACAGCTAGGCCCAACACACCGATCTGGCCTGCAGGGGCGGATTCAGAGATATCCAAAAAGGGAGGGGGGCGAAAGTTGGGCCAATCGAGACAACATCGCCGTGGGGGGTCCAGGGCATCCCCGCGAAATTTTTGTGTTCTAGACGCCCGAAAACATTTGAGGCGTTCTGGGATATCATTTTTTTCTTTTTTTTTTTTTTTTTCTTTTTTTCCCTTTTTGGGGGGGGGGTGGCCGAACCGGCTCCCACCTAAATCATGGGTTGGACAGTTTCCGGCCAATTCTGCATATATTTGCAAGAACTACATTTTTGTTATGGATGTTCTCTCAAAACCTAAAAAGACAGACGAAATCTACCTAAACAATTCATCAAAATAATGACCGAAGGGGTACATGTAAACTCCAAAGAACCCGAGCGCTCCACCTGGAACGGTGTGGTATCTACCCCACTTTACTGTTCATCACCCAAAGAAACCCGACATTAGAGTGGTTTTCAATGCCAGCGCACAGTTCAACGGATACTCCCTAACAATACGCTTATCCAATGACCCGAAGTAAATGAACATGAACAACAAGTGACTGTTAAGTCAGATTTTGCTATATGTATTAACTGCCCCTGTTTGTAGAATAGGCCTGTGTTAAAGCATAGACCAAGATACTCTATGCAGACCACAAGTTTGTGGTGCTTGTAATTCTAGATTACAGACAGTGAACTTAGCTATCTTCCAACTATGCATTCAAGGTTTGCCATTCTCACTTAGCAACAGACTTTCTTATCTTGTTTTGGAATAGTCACCAAAACAGTATATCAGTTCAGTTCATGGATTCAATGCAACAGGTTCTGGAGAAGAAACTTATTTTAAACCGTAGTCGTAGACGTAGGCGTAGCGCATCAATGTGTAACACGTGATATCGTGACATCATATGACACAGTGGATGTACACCGTGCAAGAATAAAGCATGTACCATTTATGTTAATTCTACGTTGTCTACGTGTTTGATTCATTTCTACCTCTACCAGAACCGAAAATAGTAACGCACAGGGTGCAAGGTTACATAAGTTTAAAATCAATCTTCTGCGACTTCAACCATGGCCGATGTAGGGCCAGACGATTCTGTTAGTTGTGTTAGCTCCCGGCGCTCATCAAGCAGTAAGGCTAGAGCTAAGGAGGCTGCACTAAAGGCAAAGGC